TGGGGAATACTGCTGTGTAAAATACTGCTGTTTAATGGAGCCTTCAGAATTCACTGGAGCTGATGCAAGTTCACGTAAGTTGATAGTAGACCACATAATCTTTTTTAACATCCTTTTTGAAGTCAAATTAAAAAGACTGTATTTAAAATTCATTTTGTTGTGTATCATATTTCATAGTAAGTTTCTTTTAACATTTTGCATCTAAGTCAATTCATCTTATGTCAGTCTTGTTTGTTCTTGTTAAATTGCTGTATGGTATTTTTATCAATATAAATAAGTCCCTGTAACTTCTTTGGTGAATTATTTCCCTTCCTGATTTAAAACATTCCCAGTAAATGTGTTATTTCAGAAACAGCTGCCATTGTGTTCCCCATTATACTTGGGGTCATCCTATTAGAGGTCATTATTGTTGTGCTCTTATTTCTGCAAAGAAGAAGGTAAGATCTCTCTCTCTCTCTCTCTCTCTCTCTCTCTCTCTTGCAAAGAATTTAAAGAAAAAATTGTTTAGCCATCTTAGATGATATCAGATGAATCTTAGAAAACAGTATTCAGTATCAAAGTTTTTTCTTAAAGGCACATAAGGTATAATCATTGCAGCAATTTTTTAAAGATTCATTTAATATTTATTACATGTCCAAATCCTAATCTTTTGGTAATGATATCAAACAACTCCCCTGCATATTAAAATAGCTGTTGCTATGATTTCAGTATAAGCAAGGCCCTGCATTCCAGTGGTGGGGGTGAGTTCAGACTGGGGCACCTGCAGGAACGGTGGAGAAAATGTTGTGGCCATCAGCACACCAGACTTTGTATATGACACTATTTTGACAGCTCTGTGGCACAGAATGGGGTAAACATAGTCATATATTGTATAGAAATGTAATTAGTAAAAGATTTGAGGGTTGAATTTGGATACTCAATTGAGACATAAGACAGAAGATTTGGAACTTTGAAGTATTCCATATTTTCATATAAAGTTGAAAAGAATGTGTAAAGATTCATCTTTTTTTTTTTTTACAAATCATCTGTGAAAACATTTTATATCTATCTGTGCTTCATTTACTGGAAATTTTCTTTTTATTCATTGGTCTAAAGTGCTCGTCTTTTTTTTTCATAGGATGCAATAAAACCAGAGTACAACATAACAGAGAATGTTGAAGACTGCAATAAACTGACCAATTTGTACAACTCAACATATGACAGTATAACAGGATTAGAACCTGCTAAACTCCTAAAAAGGACATGACCAGCCCCACTTACTTCAATGACGTAGCAGACAACCAGTCATCAGAGATCACAGTCCATATACTTACCACATAAAGAACTCTGTCCTTCAGTAACGGAAAATGTTTACGACACTGATGTTTTAGTGACGTATACAGATTTATGAGACCAAAGATTTTTTGAGCATAAAATTCTTGATGATCATTCCACAGATGAGGCAAAGCTTGGGAGGGAATATACATGTATCTTGCACAAAGCAGAATAGATGTTGGTAGTTATGTTGAATTTTAATATGAAGTGATATATCAAACCCATACAAAATATTTGTTTTTGTGACACAGCTCAGTCAGTGTAACAGTGGAGTTGATATGAAGATTCCAGATGAAAATCTAAAATAGCACTTTGCAGTTTGTTTTAATACATTATCCTAGAAATACATCTTTTGATTTAAAGATACTAATGAAAAAGTATTTTTGGTTTTGAGTACATGCGTGCCAATATTATGGATGTTCTTCATTATTTGACTTTAATTAAAGATGTTTTTCAGGAAAAAAATGTGTGTCAAATTGTTGCTCTTTTTCTCTGATCTTTTTCTTTTCACTTTAAGAAAGAAAACTAAAAGAAAATTTGTGAAAAATGGAATGATATTAACAAGTACGGTAGATTTTCCAATTTAAAATATACAAGTATATAAATTTTGATTACCAAATTAATGGATTGTGCTTTCTTTTATGAAATGCTTTGCTGAAAGATTGTATAATGAAATAGTATTTTTGATGATAACAGACAACTGCACATGCTTTTCATTTAAATTTCTGCTGTGTCTGCTCCAATCAGTTTACCTCGAATGATATCCAAAACTTTTAAATATTATACTCATTTCATCATTTTTTATTTCCTAGTGTGAAAATCCCGCTTTTCCTTTTTAATAAATCTTTATATTTTTTTCAAATTTGCCTGCAGTACCTTTAAATGACCCCAAACTGTCACTTGCTAAACGTCTTTCCATTTACCAAATAATCAAACTACATCAGAATTTCTNGTGGGGGTGAGTTCAGACTGGGGCACCTGCAGGAACGGTGGAGAAAATGTTGTGGCCATCAGCACACCAGACTTTGTATATGACACTATTTTGACAGCTCTGTGGCACAGAATGGGGTAAACATAGTCATATATTGTATAGAAATGTAATTAGTAAAAGATTTGAGGGTTGAATTTGGATACTCAATTGAGACATAAGACAGAAGATTTGGAACTTTGAAGTATTCCATATTTTCATATAAAGTTGAAAAGAATGTGTAAAGATTCATCTTTTTTTTTTTTTTTTTTTTTTTACCAATCATCTGTGAAAACATTTTATATCTATCTATGCTTCATTTACTGGACATTTTCTTTTTATTCATTGGTTTAAAGTGCTCATCTTTTTCCTCACAGGATGCAATGGAACCAGAGTACAACAAAACAGAGAATGTTGAAGACTGCAATAAACTGACCAATTTGTACAACTCAACATATGACAGTATAACAGTATTAGAACCTGCTAAACTCCTAAAAAGGACATGACCAGCGCCACTCACTTCAATGGGGGTAGCAGACAACCAGTCATCAGAGATCACTGTCCATAAAGAACTCTGTCCTTCAGTAACGGAAAACGATTACGACACTGATGTTTTAGTCACAAATACTGATTTAGGAGAACAGGCTTTTTACCATACATTTCTTTTGATGATTATTCCACAGATGAGGCAAAGCTGGGAGGAAATATATCTCGCACAAAGCAGACTAGATGTTGTTAGTTATGATGAAACTTTATTATGAAGTGATATATCAAACCCATACAAAATATTTGTTCTTGTGACACAACTCAGTCAATGTAACAGTGGAGTTGATATGAAGATTTCAGATGAAAATCCAAAACAGCACTTTGCGTTTTGTTTTAATACATTATCCCAGAAATACATCTGTGTTGGTTTCCTTGGTGTACTCAACATTCCAAGAACTTTTGTCTTGGTTCAGACAAAGGGTAGAAGATAAATTTATATTTTACAGTATACAAGATATGTTGATGCTTTTTCCTTCTGGCTTTAAACTATATGTCATGTGACATTTATATAGATGTCTCCAGATGGGAATTATATTAATATTTAATAAATATTAAAGCTGTAAGAAGGCTGGAAGAAAATTTGTCCCACACCATTGCAACATTAACTAAAATATGATTTTTATGTACAGACACCGGGCTGATTCATATGTACAGGTTAAATTTGAAAATTTTCTTAATAGGTTTAGCTTTGATGAAGTAATGCTGTTGTTTTTTTCTTTTGTATATAAGTGATTTTTCCTCAGATTCAGTTCTTAGACATGTTTAAAGTCTCATTATTGAACTTATAACATACTTAAATGTGTTCTTTTGACGTTTTCTGCATCTTAATTTTGTTAGTTGATAACTTAGAAAAATGATGGTAAATCAATTACGGTGCATTGTGAAATAAATAGTCAAAATGGAAATAAAATTATATCAGTGCAGTTTGTCAGATTCAATCCTTCACTGTGTTCAGAATCTCAGAATGGAGCAAATCTGATATTTAAAATTGTTCAATTGATGTATTTTTTAAAATATTTGTTTGAATAAAGGCCTGTCGATACTGTAATACCGTACTTGAGATTTTGATAATTCTTTTAGTGTTAGTGCATTGTTGTAGGTATGAAGATATATAAGTTTTGATTTTTAAACACTTAAAAGAGTATTTTTTGGTTTTGAGTCCATGCATGTCAATATTATGTATGTTCTTCATCATTTCACTATAATAAAGGATGTTTTTGGACAAAAGACATGTATGTTCAATTCGTGTTCGTTAGAATATGCACCTTCGAGCGACCAAGTAGACTTTGAGACGGATGCCACCATTTAAACCTTCTTGGACTTCTCACAATTTTTACATGAAAACTGACCTACATGTACCTGTACTTTCTGGAAAACTCTTCAATATAAAGGAAAGCATATATTGTCCACAGACTACCGCGATCATTCAAAGAATTTCAAGAAAATTGTCATAATAGAAACTAGTGATCCGGAGCCATAGATTGCTTTTATAAAGATTAGTAATGATTGTAACATTTCCCACCAGTCTGCAAGGAGCATTACTGAAGATCGCGTTGGGCAGCGGGGAAGGGGGCTGGGTACTTTGGATCCACCAATCGGTGGATCCAGAATACCCCAATGAGGAACGCTACAAGGATTAAGTCTCACCAGTTAAGAGAGCAACACAGCACAAGGACGAAGAATACCAACTTACTCTAGTACTGCATCATCGAAGACTCCGCCTTACCCGAACATTAATGAACCTGTAAATTTGTTGCGCAAGAATTCGAGTTTTTTTCATGTTCATTAATTAGACTGATTAACCAATGTGGACTTGAGACTATGGAAGGAAAAGTGTTCATTTAAAATTATTCCATTACCAGTTCTCGTTTATTTTGGACGATAACAGAGGATGCAGTACATTAATTCATGCCTTCCTCAACTTATAATTTCCTTTATTTCTGTCTTTTCTACTCAGTTCTATTACGGTAAATGAATATAACTCATGACGTTTATTTCATTACTGAATATCTTCATTTGTGATTGTGCGTAAGGGGTGGGGTGGGGTAATTTTCTTTTCTCGTGGGGCGGGACTAGTTGCTCTGTCATATAACATAGGCTAAAGTTGAAATCGAGGCACCTGTACAGAAGGTGGTCTAGAATATATTATTATGTAATCTAGGTGAGTATTTTGGTGAGAGGTGTTCAGAAAGGACCAAGGTCAGTAGAAGATGGAAAAGAAAGCCTTGTGTCTCATTGCCACAATTTTCACGAAATGGTCGGAAATCTGGAACTGAAATTGCCATCGATCTGTTGTAAGTACTGTAAGGATGATGGAAGATAACATTGGTTATTTGGCGTTAACGATATTAACCAAAAAACGGTGCAATTTGCAAATAAGGCATCATGCCGACATTTTTTCTTGACGTCAACAATATTTTTCCCCTTAAAAATCCAAATTCAACTTGTTTATTCAAATTGTAAATAGTTTATTTTCTGTTAATATTTTCAGATGGAATGCATTTGCCAGAAAACGGGTGGTGAGAGATTTGCTCCAGCAGTGAACGCGTCTTCCGTCTTAAACAATGTAAGGAGATCTTGGCAGGTAACTTCATTCTTAAGTCCTAATTTGTTTTTTAAACGTTAACGATATTAACCAAAAAACGGTGCAATTTGCAAATAAGGCATCATGTCGACATTTTTTCTTGACGTCAACAATGTTTTTCCCCTTAAAAATCCAAATTTAACTTGTTTATTCAAATTGTAAATAGTTTATTTTTTTGTTAATATTTACAGATGGAATGCATTTGCCAGAAAACGGGTGGTGAGAGATTTGCTCCAGCAGTGAACGCGTCTTCCGTCTTAAACAATGTAAGGAGATCTTGGCAGGTAACTTCATTCTTAAGTCCTAATTTGTTTTTTTTTTAATGAAAATCCACCCCAGCAAATCCCTACCCGCCAATGTGCACATGTCGTGACTGTGTTGTTCTTCTTTCTAAGATCTCATAAATTTTGTTTTTATTACCCTCCTGTCATGTTTATTTTCTAAAATTTCAATTTATACGTAATGCGAGGGTCACTATCTTTTTAGTAGCACCACTGACGTGTGATTCTAAAGACACAGAATGTTGTCGCGTTATGTACACGGCATAAAAGAATAGAAATTATATTGTTTGGAAGTGCATGATTACATAGAACGTGTCAGCTCAGTATATATATATATATTCGTCTAATTTAAAAGTTGGAAAGTGGTTTGTTGAATATTACTATCGAAATCAGTTACCGTAAAATTAAAAATTGCTTTATTTAATCAACCCTTAGACATTGTTTTTTAAGGTGCCTTTTGTTTGATTTCAGTGACTCAATCGTGCACGAGAAGATTGAATACGTTCTCCATCAATGACGACAGACTGGTGTTCCACAACGGCTGCATCCATGTCAAGATTACATGTCGCATGTCAGAGTTTGTCTGCTAGTAAATTTACAGGGTTGAAACTTAATATAAAGTGTAATGTTTGCTTTGGGTTGTGAATCGACTGTAGTTATTTTCAAACTATCACAAAGTAGTGTTCAGGAAGAGTACTTTGCTACACGTACATGTTGTAGTGGTTTATTTCCGTGTAGGTGTGGAAACATAAACAACATCTTTGAAAAACCATCGAATTATCGTACAAAATTACTTTTTAATTGTATTTTGCTTCTTTAAACAAAAAATGAATAATTGTAATTCTCTCAGTATAAAAAAAAATTATCCAGAAGTGTGTAGATCAACGCTCTGTTAAAGGTTGGCCTTGTATTGTGCCTTGTATTTTTTTAGTTGACTTTTTGGTCGCAATCAAAGAGTGATTGAAGAATAACTCCTTATCGGATGTCAGTCTTGCATGTCCTGTCGAGTTATAATGCTGAGTGTCACTTGATCACTGAACACCGGAGACCAGTCTTAAGTTTATTAGCATTGTCTTAGTAAATGTGCATTTGCAAAATCTTTTTTTCCGTTCTTCTTTGCACATTATTCTTTAAAATAGCTATGGTTGAAATAAGCTTGTAAGTTGGCCATGTCATTATGACGTTTCTGATTCGCATGCTGTACAAATTTCAGTTTTCGCTCAAAGTTGTGCCATGAAATGCATATTTAAGCAATTCGTATGAAAAAAACACGTCTGTTTTGGGCATGACAATATTTATCGATGAACTAAACAACCAGGAATCTTACTAAATTTTATTATTTTATCTACTTTTTGTTTTTGTTTTGTGAACATCAGCAAGACGACATAGTGCTTGCATGTGGGTACATGCGTCGGGATAGGATGAGGTTATATGCATATTGAATTTTCTATACCATTCACACCAGTGAATTTAGACAAACATTTTTTGGTAATGTTTTGGTTTTTTTATTTATTTATTTTGTTAATCTTGTTGGTATTATGTCTATAATAATATTCCTGAACTCCTTTTTAAATAAAAAAAGCTACGCCGGCGAAGTAGAAATTTTCAAAATGCATAGAATTTGACACGTTTTAGTTAGATAGAGAACCATTTTTGTTTGTGTGTAAAAGCTTAATTCACATTTCATAGTACGTTTTATGAAATTGACATTAAGAAGAAAAAAAGGTATTCCAAGTTTTATAATATTTTGTGAAAACACTGCTGTTACTTTTTGTATTCATTTGTGCAATAATAAATGTGCAATATTGTTTTATGAACAAAACAGAAGTTATTTTTCTTAACTACAGAACCGTAGCACGGTTTTGTAGAAGTCGAAATTCTTTATTTGGATTTATTTTTGTAAAAGGTAATTTGCTGGGACCCAGTGGCGCCAGGAATTGAACCTGCAACCTTCTGTCTGAGAGGCAAGCGTGTTACCTACTCCTCTAACTGTTCCCACCTACCCTCCCTAGGTAGACTTTCTTCTTATAGTAACCAAAGGAAATTTTTTTAAAAACTTTGGAAATTACTCGGTTTATCCAAGTGCGCGAGCAGTAAAGTAAACCCCAACCCGTGGGTCCCAATGAACATGAAAATACTTCAACGCACTGAATAATTTTGGTATTTCTTTATTAAGACCAAAACAAATCTCCATTCCATATATGCATGTATATTTAACAATCTTAAAACATCAGTTTGTGGGACTACAATTGTGATTTTTTTAAGTTTTGAAATTCAATCTATTTGATTTTACAAATAAAATTATCAACTAAACTACCCGTGTTTGACCTCATTAATATTAAAGAAAATATTTCAGAATAAAACTTTTTCCTTTAAAAAACAACGCCGGATCCGGTATTCACCCCACCTTTAACATCAGAAAAATCGAGAAGAAAACCCACTCTGGACTAACATTATCAAGTACACATAATGCTACAAATTGCCTAGAATTTCACATTTTGACTAAATTTAAATGTTCCAGATCTGACGTTGATTTTTTTTTTCTGTTTCTAACCATACGGTATTATAAGAATCATTTCAATAACTAAATACCTACAATTATGAGCAATTCTACAACTCTCGTGCTGTGTTGTGCTATTAACCGAACACGAATGAACCTCACATAGCACATGTAGAGAGTAAACATTTTTGCACCTGCTGATCTATTTATAAAAGTAATTGGGTTTTTTTTCAAAATAGAGCAGATTTTAAAAAATAGTATCAATAATTCTTTAAACTTTACACGGAATCTAGATTTGTTAAAAAAAAAACATCACCGTCCCAGTTGCATTTTTACAAAGATCATAGTGTACAAACCACGAGTCTGGACAGCAGACAGAACATTAACAAGCACAAATTTATGAAATCAAGTATTCTAATCTCTTATCTGAGCATTTAAAGTAAAGACAACTTTAAAGGCACATAGTGAGCGCTGGTCCCGTAAAAAGCAAACATTTGATTCCCTAGAAATTTCATCAATAAATCACCAAGGTATCCGATATCCAAAAACAGTTCACAGCAATTCGATCCATAAAGTCATTAAATTTTCCTAAATTTTTTTTACAATGAATAAAGTGCATGGTGTCCAAAAGCAGTTCACAACAATACGATCCTTANACGAGTCTGGACAGCAGACAGAACATTAACAAGCACAAATTTATGAAATCAAGTATTCTAATCTCTTATCTGAGCATTTAAAGTAAAGACAACTTTAAAGGCACATAGTGAGCGCTGGTCCCGTAAAAAGCAAACATTTGATTCCCTAGAAATTTCATCAATAAATCACCAAGGTATCCGATATCCAAAAACAGTTCACAGCAATTCGATCCATAAAGTCATTAAATTTTCCTAAAATTTTTTTACAATGAATAAAGTGCATGGTGTCCAAAAGCAGTTCACAACAATACGATCCTTAAACTCATTTTAAGCTCCAAGCAAGTCTCTCTAATAATGAAAATAGAGAATGGTCAATTTCGCTCACGACGAGAAAAGTTGAAATTTACAACTCGAAAGCATGTTTAAATCGTAATGGAGTGTAGCATATAACAAGCAGACTTTAAAAAACTTGTACATCGCACTTTTGTCAATGGTGTTGGATAAGACTGTGCTTTGGTGATAAAGGGAAATTGGTCATATTTTCAGAATTCTAGCTAAAGTCTAATGCGCACTATATTCCTTTGGATTAATATAAAATTCCATGAATGTCAAAAGTGAAATTATTTTAAATGCTGAGCTCAAAGTACTGATAACAAGTAATTAAAAATTGAGAATTTATTATTCAATGTAAAATTTCCAATTAATTTTTACTGGAAAAAAAGAACACATTTAATAACAGCTCACAAGACATTCAATGAAATATTGTCAATTTGTCATAAAGTTTAACTGGGTAAAATAATAAATTATCTAAGATATTTACGAGCAAGTACAATAACTACTTATTCTCCTTCCTTTACAATCTCTGCTATAGCTAAAACTACATCCACCAACGGAAAAGTTTTAACATGAAGTGCAACTGCATTCCTCATTTTAATGGAGGAAGCAAAATGGGGAAAATACTGATGTATTTTCAAAACCAGTATTAAAAGTTCAGGCATCAAAATTGAATCATAAACAAGTTATCATCAAATACCCAACATTAATATCTTACAACGTTGTACTAAATCGGTTTAAACTGATATATTCATATACTTAGTATCTGGACCGCCACGCATCCACTCCCTGGTCACTCAGAACTGATGAAGACGTGACATCTCTTTCTGGAGTGTTGGTTACATATGATTCATGGGGGAGGAGGCAGGATATTTTGGACACATTGTTTACTCAATTATCATCATTATCTGATAGGTAAACCTTCATTGACAATTTACTGCAATAAAAATGCATAGGACGCATTTGTTTTAGATATATTTCAAAACACGCCATTGATAAAATTAATCTCATACCCTAACACCCCCCACAATGAAACATTATTTACGTCACTGGTTATAGTCAAGTGCATTTTTATCTGAACAGAGTTTAGTATATTTGACCAACCTGATCGTACTATGGCGCTATCTGCTGGAATCAGTACACTAAAACTTTATGAACTTTAAATCATGTGATCATATTTGAATGTACGCTGTTGTAGTCCTCATTTACCTTCACAATGACAAATAAACTTTCGAATATATGTCTGTGTGCGTACGTGGAACACGGTCATGATAACGAAGGCGTCTATAATAATTATCCCAGAATTTTTACAAAGTTTTAGCCAGTGGCAGGAAAGGAGGGTTCATTAATTGGAGAAAAATACCACGTATCCCAGGAAAATCAGTGCAATAATTTAACACGTCAGCGCAAACGCCGTGAAAATACGCTATGCCTATATTTTGCCGAAGGATTTTATTCAAACTGTTTTTCACTTTGCATCATACAACCAGTTATCATAACGCCCGTCTGTACTGTCATGCCCAAGTTATAACAGTTTTATTCTACCTCCCCAATATCCTCCTGTCATTTCATGCTGTCAATATTTACATATACAAGATTTCAACATATATCATACATCACATGATTCTTTAACATACAGCAGTAAAATAACATATTTTATGTAATAAAAGAAATGAAATTCCATTCGTATCAATTATTTTTTTCTTCGGGAATTGATATTTCAAATTGTTATGCCTCCGCCTGGCGTTTAGTAAAATACAGAAAAGGTGGTGATTATACGAGAAAGTTTGAAACAAGAGGAGGTGTGTTAATCTGTTAAACTGATTGCATTCAGCAGAGTTGGATTGATCTACGTAGAACGAAATGGAATGAAACCTTAGATTCATTAAATTGTATTTTATTATTATTGTAGTGCTCTTAATATTTTATTTGGAACTTCGACCCACTGGGTTATCAATATCTTATCAATAAATAAGAAATAATCATTATTATACAGGGTGATATTCTGGCGTCTGTTCTCTCTCAACGTGATTGCGACGTCTTCCACAGAATTGGTGATAATTTCAATTTCAATTTATTTCTGTACTGGTACATAGATTGTCATGACCTTGTACAATATGATATACAAATGATGATACAATACAGTTAGTGTATTACCATCTTTATATAATGAAGATAAGTACTAGTAAAATTACTCATAAAATATTCTATCTAAGCAATGAGATAAACCTTGGTGTGATTATAAATTTACCATAAACATACTATAAACATGTTACACAAAAAGAATATGTTTTTAAAGAACTTAAAACCACCGTTACATAGCTGTTTACATGGCTGTTTGATGACATTGATAATTACGATTAATGACAATTACATAAGACATATAAGTAAATAAGTTACACAGATATAAATATTGTGCCATGTTCAGTCCCACTGCCGAGTCACTTCTCACAACAGTGGGACCATACACTGACATTTTAAGGGATATGCTAAGAGTTACCAAGCAGAGCAACCACTTCACTTCTTTTCTTAAATGATTTGATTATAAAGTTGGAGAGGGACACTAAAGTATCTTTGTTGGCACTGTTAAATACATGGCATAATTGACTGTCTGGTGGCCTTGAATCAGCTTTTAGGAATGAGGTTTTACTGAAAAAGGTGACTCGGTCTGTTTTGTACATTGGGCATTGGAATATAAAATGGTATTCATCCTCAATTACCCCTTGTGTGCACAGGCGACAGATTCTGTCGCACCTTTCAGTTTTTGGCCTGGTGTGCCGCCCAGT